CTGCTCCATCGGTAGCCCTACACCTAGCTGCATGAGGCAGCTAACCTCATCTACATCTACATCTGCGCATTGTCGATTCATGCCTGCGTCCAATTGCACGTAGATGCGCGATAAGCGGAGCAAGAGACGACGAGGCAGGTGTTCTGCAATAGGAACCCGAAGGTAGAGAACCTCACGCAACAGCTGCACGCAGCCGACGCGAATCCGTCCCCCGGCAGAGAACATAGGTAGGTAGGTAGGTAGTACATAGACAGACGAGTGCGCATCAATCTACATAATAGTTGCCATGTGTTGTGCGTTACATGGTAGGCAGGAAACTACCGCAATAATTATCTAGGCATTATTGGCGGGATGGCACCGTTACATTTGGTAACTGTGGACTGACATGGAGGTGTATGGATGTAGGTGGTAAAGATGTATTGATTATGTATATCCCTACCTGCTGCGAAGTGGCGGTTGGGTGCTGGGGGTGCAAGGGTGGGCATGCTCTGTGTGCGCGTGCGCGCGAGAGAGTGTGAGTGCACAGCATGTATGTCTTCTTCGCCGTCCTGGTTGGGTGGGAAGCGCAACGCCCCGATGCCGTCGACAAGTCTGGAGAAGACTCCGGAGGGGGATGGAGAAGGCGAAGAAGAAGACGGGAGGGATATAAAAAAAGACCAGCCTCATTTACGATTAGCCGCAGGATTAAAGCTCCTACAGATACACCTACATACATACTTGCCTTAGGTACCTACCTATCTAACCTACGTTACCTACCTACCTTAGGTACCTACCTGCCTCCTAGTAGGTGCCCGGCAGGCGTGTACAGGGTCCGAGGAGAGGCATCCAGGCACCAACAGCACCCAGCAACCCATGCTCGTTCCCCTTTCAGGGATCCGGCGTTGGCACGCTTACCCGGTTCTGCGCTAGCACGCTAGCACGCACATGTCATCAATCAAGCCTACCGCACCGCATTATCCGTATCGCGGGCTGGTCCTGGGTGGATGTGGCCTCGCAACACAACCCCACGCTGATCACCGCCAGTCTGTCGAATCCTCTCTGAGCCTGATATTGCAATTTGAGCGTCTAGCTGTCTTGCCCGCCTGAGCTCCCTCTGGGGAAATGAGGGTGATGTTGACATCCAAATTCTAAGGCATTGAAAGCTCGGACGATGTGACTGTCGATCCTCGCATTGCACCATATGTATCATGATCGATAGTCTCTTCCCACCCCTGCTCTGATGTTCGTCATGGTAATCAGGGGGCGGGCTCTAGAACTCAGAGGTTAGATACAACGAGATTTTTTCTCTCTCTCTCGTTGTGTCCAAGAGTCAGTTGGTGGTTGGCTGCTATTATACTGGCTGACGGACAACCAGTATCGTCTTCATAGGTAGGTAGGTGGCTACAGACGTGGATGTATACCTGCCCGCGGCCCACCTACCCTACGCCACAGCGCCTCCACAGCACACACCACATGTGTACAGATAAGGCCCTTCTCCCTCTCCTCTTTCTCTCTCTCTCTTACACATGCACGTAGACACACCATTGGCACGTCCGGCGCCCGTATCCTCGTCTTCGGAACCCCGCGGTCTCTACATGTTGCTTTAGGTTGGAATAGACAATACGGAGAGGAATATGCAAGGCGAAGAACGGCAAACGGAGCAGCGCAGCACGCGCCTTGTACCCATTATCTCTGCAGGTACCTATGGTAGGCAAGTACACAGGCAGAGACACCTGGGCAGATTGGGGTGTGTCAGGCAGTACCCAAGTCTATATACCTGCCTCGCATGTACATACATGCATCTCTTTTAGAACGACTGTCTTTACCTCTTTGTGTACTGCTGCATAAACTCGACCAGCCCTCCCGGTCTCCCTTAGCTAACCCTTGTCTTGGGCTCGCAACCCTCCCCCCGCCACCTACCCCGTGCAGAAATGATCGAAATCCAGTGCTGGGTTTACGTATCACCTGCAAGATTTCCCCATGTTAATTATCTAAGGGGGGAAAATGTGCTTTACAATACGAGAAATGAAATACAATCAAAAATCCAACTTCGTCACATCCCTCAATTAAGATTCATCCACCTTAGATGTGATGATGATCTAGAGCCGCCGCTAAGAAACTGCCGCCCACTAAGGATGCGGCCAAATCCCTCCAAAGTCCGGTTCCGCACAAACCCTCCCTTATTATCACTAAGACCCATGTTGCCATGCTACATTACTGACGATTTTTTTTTTTGGATGGGGGGGAGCTTTCTCCATGGAAGCTCTCCCGCCTTGTAGCCATGGATGATTCGCTATTTAAGGAAGTAGTAAAAAGAAAAATCACAACTCGGGATCTTCGCACGGGTCGTAATCCGAAGTGGGACATACAGTAAATAATTTACGAACGGACCCCCTTCCAATGACTTCAAATACTTCTATTGAGAATGTTCGAAATCAGGTAAGCTAAGCCAACAATACAGTGTCAATCAAGTTTTCGTTTCCTATCTGGGTTACATGCGTACATTGTTTCTCAGCGAGCCAAAGTTGCTGGTTGGGGACTTTTATGCACCGCCAATCTAAGATACCAGCCCTCTCCTATATGCTACGACCTAACCAAATTGCCAGTTTCTCATGTACATGGCGTACCTCAGACAGTCATGAGTACTACATTAAGTATATACAGATATATGTATGTGCATAGCCTGGGATGTAGTTACTCATAGATACCTATGTACAGTGTAATAACCACACTCACTAGCTTGACGTGTCCCACTCAAGGGCCAGGACACCAGTCATTACTCGCCTTTTTTATATTTTTTCTTCCAAAAAAAAAAAGGTAATCTCTAATCTTACAATCTCGTGTAGATCTCGTCCTTGTTGTTGTTATTATTGCCGTCGTCCTCGTCGTCGTTGTCGCTGTTGACATCTTCTCCAGTACAATGCGCGTGTAACAGGTTGCCTCTCAATTTCTCTACTCGAGCTGAGGCCTGACCTTCGGCCTCTGGAATTGCTCTTCCTCCAATCAGACTTAACGTGCAGTCAATAGTTAGCTAGCCACTCAACGCCGGGAGCCGATTCGGTCACAATTTGCCCTTCCCTCTCCTTTCCTAGCTGTCCCGCCCATACAGGTCGCTTCCAAGGAGCGGCCCCTCTCTCAGCGCGCGCCCTGTAAACAGAGTGTGTAGACAGACGTCTCGTCTCATACGCAGCAACTCCGCATATGGACGTAACGGTCTCTTCTCGATGGGATCGCTCGCGCTCCTTGCGCCATAGTGGAAGTCAAGTAAGTGTATGCACCTGCGTTAGGCCGGGGTACACCCTCCCCCCCCCCCCCTTCCTGGCTTAGCTACACCACCACATGCTCCTCTTCGTCCTATGTTTCTGCTTCTGCTGACCGCTTGGGACGGGATTATGTCGTGTGGGTTAAGCCTTACTATGAGAGGGGCAGGAGGTAGCTCGCGAGACAGACAATAGGTGCAGGCGCATGGGCAGGCTGGAGGCGATGCGGGAGGTCGGCCTGGCAGGGCAGGTTAATCGACCGGTAATTGGACACGCACGCCCCTCCTAAAAGCCGTTGAATAATACCACCCCTCTCCTGTTGACCCAACCCTTTCTTCCTTTCCCACGCAGTCCCTCGAATCTCGATAAACCCTGGCCAATTACAGAGTCGTGTTTTGGAAGTCAGTCTCATTATTTCCGCAGTGCATTTCTTAGCAATCTCAAAACGCCCAGACAGTGCCACATCGGAGCCCTCGCACGGGGAATTCTTAGATCACTAAGAGGGAGGGGAGGAGGGCGCGTGGGGGGTTGATGTAAAAGAGGCAATGCAGAGAGGGCGCGAGACAGAGAGAGACAGAGAGACAGAGAGACAGAGAGACATAGAGACAGATACCAGAGAGACAGAAAGAAACACAGAGAGAAAAGGAGAAAGAGAGAGACTGTGTGTATTGTGAATAATATCGAAATCGTCGTGTTGTATGGCATGCGGTATACTGAATATGGTGTATAGTACGGCGGGATATTGCTAGACGGGCACAGATGAGCAAAGGGGGGGTTTTCGTTGATCATTGTTGGCTGAGCTAGGCTAAGTAGAACGTTCTTCTACCCTTGAAAAATCCCTGGTCGATGATTAGCAGCCAATGCTTCCCCGTTGAGGCCAAATGGGAGAAACGGGGGGCGGGGAGGGCCCTACCCTGACAGGTCCGCAGCACCCATGGACCCCCTGAACAGAGCTAGGATCCCACCATCATGGCCACCATGTCAAGCAGGTCTCTATCTAGCACTACCACCCATCCCCGTCCTTACTCTCAGCACATTTATTAACGAGTACTAGTACAATGCGTTGTTGTACCGTACGTGTAGCCGTTCCTGTTGTCGTCGCTGTTCCTTACCTGTAAACGAGAGGACATACCGACCTTTATTATTAGCCTCTCACATACGACCTGCTCGCCCTGTCACATCGACATGCCTCCAGGGATTTCCTGAGAGTGTCGCTGTATGTATCGCCTTCTCTCTCTCTCTCTCTCTCCCTCTCTCCCTCTCTCTTCCCGTATCCACTCCCTGTCATAGGAACCCAAGCGTCGCCCAGCCCTGCCCGTGCCAGCCAGCGCATTGTCAGTGTCCTGTCGACGAAGAGCTGCCAAGCAGACCTGGCGCCTGTGCAGTGAAGGGTCTTGTACTTTCGTATAGTGCGCCAAAAGAGCTGCTATCCCGGTTCGTACCTAAATTGTCCTAATCTCTAATATTAAAGTCGCACAAAAGCCTCCCGCGACCTTACTTAGACCCAGAAGGAATCGAGCTTCTCCATCCTGAGTCGATAAGTCGGCATCACCAAGCTCTGCCCGACGCAGCTACGCCGGCACGTTGCCTCCCAGGCCTCCAAGATCCAGGAGCTATCTGACGGTGCTACAAGGAGAGAGGTCGTGTGCCTTGTACTGCAGCTCCCCGTCATCCCATCTCCCAGGTTTCCACCAGCTCCGCCGCGCGCCGTGTCACTGGATTCCCTAACCTTGACTGAGCCAGTACCACAGACGATTTTGCTTGTCCGACGCTGTCTCTGAACGCTCGCCATCCGACTAGGACCTTGGGGGGGAGGGTGATCGCTGTTCCTAACTGGCCTCTCTTGACGTGTCTCGGTCCGGTCGTGTATATCTTCTCGTGATAGGATAGCCCGAAGAACAACAAGAAGAAAACGCCCCGAGCCCACCTCGCCTGGACACCGAGGGCATTCGAGATTCTATCCCGTTCGCGAACTCGGAGAATCGAGTTGCTTACCACCACAGGCGATCCAAAGCCCGAGAGATCGAGGGCATAGCTGAACTCGCGAGTTAGCCTGGGCATGCAATCCTTCAGCCAGCGCCGCCGGTTCTATTTCTAAACGGTATTTCCGTACTCCCGACTAGGGTGCTGGGCTCCCGTTTGGAAGGAGAAAAAGACGTTAGGAACCTGATGGTCCTATCGTAGATTCTTCTTTCAGCCTGTATCCATGCAAACCCTCACTCGCCGTGTTGAGCAGTTGTATCTCCCGCTCGGCCAGCGCCGAGGCATATCCGATCTGGCGACGTTCGCTCTAGACCTGACCTGGGCCAGAGCAGAGACGGACTGTGCTCTCAGCAGCACCAGGGCGTATCCCTCTCCGCCCATGTCAGGGTCTCCACCACCACCACTCCCGCAGAAGCCAAATCCAGAGGTCGGTGATCGAGGCCAGGGAGCTTTTCAGCCCGCTAGCCATGATGTGTATCGCTCGAGCTCAGCTATTTCCGGAGGCGAATATCGAGCACCAGCACCAGCAGCACCACCGCAACCATCCCTACCGCCCCCAACCGTAGGCCCTAGGCCTTTCCACCCAGAAGGCCAGGAGCGACGGCCGTATCTATACCACCGCCCCGAGGAAACGCTGGGAAGGCCAATCGCATACCCCCCGCAGCCAGGCTCGATGATTCCCCAACCCCAATATCCGCTTCCTCCCGTGGTTGGGCCCAGCCTAGACCCGACGCCCTATTCGATGTCGAGCAATTCACAAGGCGTCGAGAACCCGACATATACTTCCCCGAAGTCCCAGAGGAAAACCAAAGGTCACGTAGCTTCGGCTTGTGTACCCTGCAAAAGAGCGCATCTCAGGTACTGCTGAACTTTCGATCCTCTCCTTGACGCGTTCCTGGATGCTAACCTTTGCTAGGTGTGACGGTACGTATCGAACCCCGACTTTTCTATCTTTTCTGCTGCCGGTTGTGCGCCAGAGGCGGCAGCCGCTCTCCAGAGGAACCACGAGAATAGGAGTCCTATGAGTCTTGTATGGCTTGTCAAGCACAAGGCACTTTGAGGAGGCGGAGTGCGAAGAATAAGCGGCCCCTTTCCACCACTACAGTTGAAAGGAGCTCTGGTTCGAGCAGAGATACCGCTTCGGGATTGAGGTGTGCTTTATCTTCAGCTGAGGCACGACCTGGAAGGAATGAGAGATCCCGCCCGTCTAGGCCTGTCTGTATGAGCAGCGCTATAGGAGCTTCCGGAGCGGATTGCGGAGTGAGCGACGCTAGGTAATGGGGCCGCTGTAGACACGGATTCGAGTGCCTGCCTCTTTGACGATCACGGCCAAGCACTTTCGCAAAGTCGAAACAACTTAGTCGGAATATCTCCCGCAGATCCCTAGGCGGGCACTCTCCCCCCCCCCCTCTCTCTAGACCCTGGTCTAACTCCACAGGTGCCACCGACAATATTGGGGAGGGCGTGTCTCCTTTGCTTTTGTGGTTTCGTCTGGATGTCAACCGGCACCAATCTTAACGTGTACCTACTGATCATTAGAAGCGCGATAGAAGGCTGACAATGTGGTTTGAATAGCCCAAAGACCCTGTTCGCGGTGTATGAGCAACGGTAAAGAAGACTCGTGCGTCGACGTTCAACACAAGAAGCGTGGCCGGCCTCGGTTACGCGACGACAACCAACCGCGGTTCGACGCTGGGAGATTTCCCCATCCATCCGATCCGACGATCCGACGACCAGTATCCCTTTATTCGCCAATGAGCGTTCCTCCCACACCTTACGAAGACCCTCTTCGAAGAAGTCACTCCTATCGAGTCCTAAAGTCGCAGCCGAACGAATCTATCGCGCCTAGGTTTCCCGAACGAGGGTCGGCCGCAGACGCGAATCTGTTTCCTGCGCCCCTGTCCATACCAGCCCACGCCCCGGAACCTGTGGCGTTTCTGACGACTGATTTAGAGATCGCCAAGGCATCGAGACCTTTCATCGAAGCAGTCGGCTCTCAGGCGATCGTGGGCCGAAGATTGGTTGAAATTGTCAGTCCAAACGAGCGTGACAGAGTCATCGGGCTCCAAAGGTCGCTTCAGGAGGAGCAGGGCAGAATGGATCCGAATTATCTCCCTCCAATTTTTGGGAAGCAAGAAGCCGAGAGGGTGATCCAAGCGCTGCCGTTCAGTCCGGAATCGATGTCGAGGTTTCGGTTAGGTCGGCAAGACTTCTTCACCTTTGTTGCTGGAGACGGACAACCATTGCCCTATCCGATCCGCATCGGACTAGCAAAGGAGGACTCGATATACTTCGTCGTGCTGCTGTTGATCCGCTCAACCCAGCCATTCCCACAGCCCTCGCCGTCACCCCACACTCGCGAATTCTCGTATTCGTTCCAGCCTCAACCTTATACCCAGCTAACCCCAGTGTCGGCGTCCTTCGACCCGAGCCGCCCGCGATTCGGGATGCTGCCTCGAGAGAGTGCATACACACCACGGCAACCACCAACACCGGCGCTGATCACTTCGGGGCTCCCACCCGGCGTTAGCCCGAACCATCCCACATATTCTGCTTCTAGACGGGTTGAGCCCCAGGCTGGACCGTCTCACCAGATCCCAAGAAGCGAATTATCTGTTGCCAGACCGCCGCAGCAAGGGGAGTATCAGCTTCCGCCAATTCGTGGCCGGGGTCAGGCCGCCCCCTCGACGGAGACCCCGGGATGGCAGCGGGATGACCGAACAAGTCGCGTCGATATAGGAGGATTGATAGAAAAGCCCGACCCGTCACGACGAGGACGGTAGCTATTTCGATCAGCAGTCACAAATGGCCTTCACTACCACCTCCTCTGAGCTCTTATCACGGCACCGTGTCTTTGGGCGACCTGGCACCTCCCCGTTGCAAGGTTATCTGCTTTCGACGCCTGTTAGCCACGTTAATGCACCATCAAACACTCCGATCCGCACTCGAATTGTAAACTATACCCACATCGCGTATCCGTAATTCACAACCACCCAGGAGATACCATGTATAACAACATATTGCATCTTCCCATCTTATATACCATCCTTCCACAATTTGGGGGCTTCTGCTCATCCGCGGAGGCCGTTCCTCTTACGGCATGGCTGGCCTTCTCTGGACGTTGCGATAATAACCACGGCCGAGCTTTCTTAGCTTGAGCTTGCGACTGCTCTTTGCTGGTGCTTTCGTCTTGGTCGTTCTAGGCCGCCGTACGATGCGTCAACTCGCGCTCGCTGGAAATTTCAGACAAAATACGTCGACTGTTCTGTTATGCTACGGAGTGGTAGCTTGGGCGACTCCGAGAGGTGACAGTTCGAGAACAGTAAAGACCGCTGCGTCATAATCATAAAAGAACTCGTTCGCCCTGAGAGGATTTCGCATCTTCGTGTAATATATACCTGGTTAAATATCGGGGAGGCGCTCTCTTTCTTCGACAAAGGGCAGCAGCTCGGTGACAAGGGTGGAAAGGTCCAGCTTGACGGCACCCCGATATCTAATGGCACGGCCGGTCGGTTGGAATAGGTCGGCGCGGTCTTCCAAATTTGATGCTCCGCCGTTATCTTTCCAGTCTTTGTGTATAATCCTTTTTTTTCTTTTTTTTTCCTTTTTTTCCCTCTTGCTTTCAAGTCTCTCCTGTCTCGTATCTGGCCAGCGGTATTGGGCGAGGAAATCGAGGGGGAGGGGAGGGCTCCATGGCACGAAGCCAGGTAATAAGATGTTAGTCTTAGAAGAACAGAATCATGTACAAGTCGGGAACAGAAAAAAGGGGAGATGGGAGGCCTGATGAGGAATTAAGGGAAATGTGTAGGTTTTCTAACCAAATACACGAGCGAGCGTGGGGAGGAAGTAGGGGGAGGATGACGGGAGAAAAAGAGGTAGAATCAGCAGAACCTGGGAGGGATATATCAATGAAACGAAACATTTCTGAAGAGACAAGAAGGGAAATAGGCTTTGAAATGAAACAAGCACGAGAAACAACAACCTGCTTACCGCGACCATCAGAAATTTTTGTTTCGGGACCCGGCCGATCAGATCCCATCCTCCAAGTCCATCCAGTCTTGTCCAGACAACTCAGAAGCGAGCTTATAATCCGCCTCAACCAATTCTGAGGATTCGGGCCGTCGTACCCGTCGACCCCCCCGTCTGTCTCCTCGATCTCTCCTCGATGTGTGCCTCATCGAAGGCTACAAGTATTTTGGCGGGCTTGGTATCAATGGGCAGCCAGTAAGAGGCCAGTGCTGGTTTAGTTGCCAGGTTCGTCGCGGTGATTTGATATGATATCGAGGTCTATATTATAACATCTCGTACCGGGAACGTTGGTTTCATTTCCGGGCACTACGACAGTACATATCACCAACAGGGCGCGTCAGAAGGACGCACTCGTCAGTCAGACACACCTCTCTCCCTCCCCCCTCTATACATCGCCAGAAAGGCACATCGATAAGCCCCGGGGCTGCAGTTCATCGACACACATATTTCGTACACGCACACACATACGTTCGACCCGTACACAAGCGGGCAAACGAACCAATGCCAACATGGAACCGGCATGGCTCGGGTGCTTGCCATTCTCTTCCCCTCTTTTCCCTCCATCGCTGACTTGGATATTCCTTGCTGCGTCTTCTAGGGCTCTACGGTCTCGATCTTTTAGCTCCGACCCCCCATACATCCCCGTTACCGCGACGCCCTCGCAACACCTGCAGCGCGCACCACCTCCTCCCCGGCAGCCTGGCCCCGAGCGCACCGTACGATGTGCACATACCGCCCGTGACGGCCGGCGTAGAATGAGAGGAAGAAGAGGAAGGGAAGATAAGCGTATGCCATCATCCTCTGAGCGAGGGCGCATGTCCGTGCAAACCCTATTGAACTGTGACGGAGAGAGGCGATGCCGGGCCGTGGTTGGCACACTAACACGAAAGTCGTCAAACCGGGAGTTGGGCGCAGGGATTGCGTATATATATGATATGCATGTAGCTTGTAGGTACATCCGGGCGCGTGTTGGATATAAGCAAGGTACGTAAGCTACAGTCGGGTACATCGTTGCCTAAGGTCCATACCGGAGGCTTGTAGAGCTTTGCTGAGACTGATAGGTCCTTATGCGGTAGGTACCTGGCCTGAAAGACACCTCGGTAGGTATGCTTAACAGGCCACCATTAAGCTATATTCTACACCAACGTAGAGGCGATGAGGTTAGGTACCTAGGTAGGTAGGTATCTCCAGGAACCTACCTCTCTACCTACATGTACCTAGCATATCTACCCCTTACTTGCATTCCTCGTAATAAGGTACCTCCCCAGCCTCTCTTACCTCTCCAGGTACCTACTTGCTACATGCATGCATTCGATGCCATTCATGTGCTTCGCCTCTCCCCCGAGCTACCTGACCCTGCCTGGGCGCTACATGTGCACATATATGTACATTTTATAATCTTACGTAGGGGAGACCTACCAGGGCAGGTCAGTGGATAAAATTGTCCGAGCCGTTGCAGGGACGTGCGTGCGGTGCGACGGAGCGAGGTACCGTACACGAGCTCACGGGCGCACGCCCGGGGCCTGGTAGGGTGGTAGTGTCTAATACACGTACAGACGCTAATCAAGGAGAGAGAGAAGGAAAAAAGTCCCGACTGGCCATGTCTCTCCTACATTTTAAACATCCCCAGATTCGCGGTACTTTGTAAGTGATGGGGGGGGAGGGACGGGGGGGAGGGGCGTATCAGAAGCCGGCGTCTTCTCACCACGCACGCACATACAATACCTACTCTCCCTCTCCCTCTCTCTTCCTCTCTCTCTCTCTGCTTGCACAATGAGTTACTACTCTCTGCCCCCTATTGCAACCGCTGCTCTCTACCAGCCTTGAAACCGGTGCATCGGAAACTCGGAAACAGAAAGACGGTGGCGGTACCGATACTCTCCAACGCTTACCAAAACATGCATCATCCTTCCTCATCCTTCTCCCCTTGATAGTCATGGATCATATATGGGTCGGAGGGAACAGACATCTATAAGTTCCATAATTACGGAAGGGGGTTCGTTTTTTTTCCCTCCCCGTCATTTCTTGCTTCTTTTTCTGTCTATCCCTTTGCGTTCTTCCTCCCCCCCCCCCCTTCTTGTTGATGCATCCAACTTGTTAGACGTGTGACAAATCATGAGAGGGAAAGGTTTTGCCCGGTAGCTGCCTACATTAATCAAGATGTTAGCCTAGGTTGAGACAAATACCTATGATATATATGCTTATCCCAGTAGTATTTTAAGCGAGTACAGTAGATACTTATCAGGAATGCTTTGTCAATTTAGCCATTGCTGGAGGACGGTCCTCTCGCCGATGCGGGACAGAAACTGGATTCGCACCCGTCGTTCCCTTTAGGGCGCTCCCATGGTAAGGCATCCGAGTAATTATCGCATCATTCTTGATCGAGTGTTATTTTGCCATTTGGATCCATACTCTGGCTGGGAAAAGGACCGGTTCTCATTGATAAATACTCGCCGCCGGAAAAGGTTGCATTCCCTGAGCCGAAATGCTACCTGGAATATTAGGCCGGACCCTCCATACCCTTGCCTTCCTAGGTAGGCAGATTAAGCGCTTAATAAATGCCGGTACAACCTCACCCAAGAGGATCATCGTCTCGTCGATTATCGTTTCCTCGATCGGGTATTTCTCTCACAGGTAGCATGCAGGTATACATGCAGTAGGTAGGTATATGTATACACGTCGATGTGTAGATGGCATACCTACCTACCTTCTACCTTCTAGAGACTGTACACACCCCTGGGCGGCGGGCTAGTTGGCGCGGCCACCCTACCGCCTCAACATCCACCCTGGCATACGTGTACGCATAAAATATACCTACAAATACAGTCCTGTCTGTTTATCTGTCTGTCTGTCCACCGTAAGGTTGTTTCAGGATCAGGCCCGCTATACCGAGCCGGCGTTTAAGAAACGAATACCTATTGAAACTTTGGTAGCACGGGGGAAGAAACCCCCGTCATCGTCGTCTACATGCGTATGACGATAGGAAGTGGTTGGGTTAGAAGGGGCCATCTCCATCTTCATACAACCCCTTTTACTCTTCAGTGCCGGTACGACCTAAACCTCGACGAGTACGTTTGTGCATATAATAAGTAGTATTGGCTAATACCTACGTGTTGTAAGTTGCCTGAAGGAGCAATTGAAGAGGTTAATGTGTCTCTACTCACATTAGAGACTAAGCTAGAAACGCTTGCGACAGCTACGTCCCAATTGAATATTGGTATAATATTAAATATAAAAAAGAGAACATAGAAACTATTACTTACCTACAGTATTCATAAGTTGCGTACCTATCTAGGTAGATTATTAATTTTAACGCAGCCTATGTATATACTTTATATTTATACATATTAAATAAGAAACATATATACTAAAAAGTAAAAAAAATACACTTATATATATAATATTTATTATATTAAAAAATATTTTTTAAAAATACTATTTATTAATATAAATATATATAATAATATTACCTAACTTTAGCATAGTATATATATTATCCTATCCGGAGGATAGTTATAATACGCATAACCCCCTGTCATACTGATTAATTACGGGGTTAAATACCCCTGTAAATACCCCTGTAAAGGGGTGTCATTTAGGGGAAACTCTGTTTTTATTGGCTGAAAGTTCGTATACGCTGTTTTAATTAGTTAAAAGTTTGTATGACCCGCTTAAAAGGGATGCATCTAATAAAACCGCAGCATACGCGTCCATCTATTTACCTACGCGTTTAATCCTATTTCCTACCTATTTTAATCCTATTCATATACAATCGAGGTCAGTTTCTCTCCGTTCAAAAGTCGATTGCTAATCCCTTTTCGCAGTTCAATCCAGGTCAGTTTCTCCCCGTTCAATCCAGGTCAGTTTCTCTCCGTTCAATCAAGAGTCGATTGCTAATCAATCCCTTTTCGCAGTTGAATCAAACGTCGATTCCTACTTACCCCTTTTTCCCTAGCCTTCGGAGAGGTTCTAGGTTTTCGGCACGAAAACCTGGAGAAGCGCGGAGCGCTTCGACGTATTTTATGTATATATATATAAGTTAAGCAAAGGTACCTACCTACTTATACGTACTTATATAATAGGTTACGTATTTTTTTGTAATGTAGGGCGCCAAAAAACAAGAGGGTAAGTTTGTACTCTTGACCTCCTACCTTTTTTTTTCTTAACGTGATACGCGTTTATCGTCCGAATCTATCAAACCCCCTATGGAAGAAAATGGCGGCAATCCAAACTCTACGGACTCCAACTCGACAACGAGCTCGATCTGAGCAGATGTCGTACAATCAATTACGGGCTGCTGTAAAGGGTGCTTGAGAGAAGGTTCCGGAGAGTTGGTTATGGGTAAGCTTCTAAGCATGATGCCATCGCGACTCCAAGCTGTAATCGACGCGAATGGAATGTATACGACTTGTAAAAGGTACAAATCTGTCCCCTGTTCCTTGGCCCCCCCCCCATGTACATACATAATAACTCGCCTAACATTGGCTGACGTTTATTCAGTGGATCTCTACTTACTACCTGCGATAATGTTGCCGACCTCTCAATCCATTCCCTCCATCCATCTTCACCAAACTTCCCCTCCAGGCCTCCCTTTATGCGGCAATACTACGCGCTATCTATCTACATAAGAACACATCGTAATGTGGGGCCAAGCGTTCGATCGCTAATTATAGAGCTCAGGGTATTCCTGAAGAGTCCGACGAAGAGAGGCATTGGCAACTGAACACCACTTGGAGAGAAGGGGGTTCACTTCAACCCCCAGGTCGAGTCAGCCGGGGGCTTGGGCGGCAAGCAGCACCATGCCTGAACCTATGGAAATCGATGAGCCGAGGGGCATCAAACGGAAAACTCCGTCTTCCGCGGACGAAAGCCTGCCTCGTCGGATTAAGGCTAGTTTCCCATGGCTCCCATCAAGACACAGCAGGGCTAACTGCTCGCTCTCTGGTCGTAGGCTTTGGACCCTGATGTCGTAAACAAGATTGCCGCGGGGGAGATCATAGTAGCGCCCGTCCACGCTCTCAAGGAGCTGATGGAAAACGCCGTCGACGCGGGGTCTACGTCCCTAGAAGTTCTGGTCAAGGATGGCGGCTTAAAGTTGCTGCAGATTACCGATAATGGATGCGGAATCAATGTAGGCTTTACCTCTAGAACCTCAGTCGCCCTTTCTGCACTCTCGGGTGACCTGTTTCTAACAAGCATGATAGAAGGAAGACCTCCCAATCCTTTGCGAAAGGTTCACCACTTCTAAGCTGAAAACATTCGAGGACCTGAGTAGTATAGCCACCTATGGCTTTCGGGGAGAGGCTCTGGCTAGTATCAGTCACATCGCACATCTCACTGTGACCACCAGAACCAAGGATTCCGAGTGCTCATGGCGTGCACACTACGACGGAGGCAAGCTGTCGCCAGCCAAGCCCGGCCAATCACCTGATCCTAAATCAGCCGCCGGGCGCATCGGCACCCAAATATCAGTGGAAGACCTGTTCTATAACGTACCGACGCGGCGTAAAGCGTTTCGCTCCGTGTCTGACGAGTTCAACAAGATCATCGACATGGTGGGACGTTATGCCGTCCACTGCACCGGCGTCGCCTTCTCCTGCAAAAAGTACGGCGACCCGGGCACGTCGATCGCGGTGCAGTCGCAGGCCTCCACAATTGACCGGATCCGCCAGATATATGGTAGTGCCGTCTCAAATGAGCTCATGGAGTTCACCGCATCAGATAACCGCTGGGGTTTCAAAGCTTCGGGTTGGGCCACGAACGCGAATTATCACATCAAGAAGACCACTCTTCTCATCTTCATCAATCATCGCAATGTTGAATCTTCGAATATCAAGAAGGCTGTAGAGCAGGCGTATTCCGCCTTCCTCCCCAAAAACGGTCACCCCTTTGTTTACTTAAATCTAGAAGTCGATCCTCAGCGAGTGGACGTCAACGTTCATCCGACTAAGCGAGAGGTCAATTTTCTAAACGAGGACGAAATCATTCAATCCATCTGCGAAAATATCCGCAACAAGCTAACGGCTGTCGACACAAGCCGCACTTTCTTGACACAGACCTTACTCCCCGGTGCCCCGCTCGTCGACGACCCATCGCAGCAAAGCGGTGACTCCCCTTCGACCAAGACCCTAAGTGCTTCGCGAAGAACTCCGATGCGGCCATATGAAAATAACCTAGTTCGAACGGATGCTTCACTGCGCAAGATTACTAGTATGTTTCCCGCGGTCTCCCAGCCGTTCGGCCTCGGCGTACCGAGCCAATCCGCACCCGGAAACCTTCAGGAGCCGGTCTACGAGACGGGAATTCGTGAGCCGACCCGATGTCGACTAATCAGCGTGCACCAACTTCGTTCTGCCGTCAAAACTGATATACACACAGAGCTAACCGATATATGTGCCACCCATACGTTCGTAGGCATCGTAGACGACAATCGCCGTCTAGCTGCCATCCAAGCAGGCGTCAGATTATTTCTTGTTGACTACGGTCGGGCAAGTTTCGAATATTTCTACCAAGTCGGGCTCACGGATTTCGGGAACTTCGGCGTCATCAAGTTTCAACCCGCTCTTAACCTCCGCGCTGTCCTGAAAATTGCGGCGGAGCAAGCGAGAGCCGCGTCCGAGGATGATGATTTCGATGTGGATACAGTCGTCGACATGGTAGCCGGGCGATTGGTCGAGAGGAGGGAAATGCTCGTCGAATATTTTAGCCTTGAAATTTCACCGGCCGGAGAGTTGTTGAGCATCCCGCTTCTCCTAAAGGGCTACACGCCATCTATGGCGAAACTGCCACAATTCCTCCTCCGTCTCGGTCCTCATGTAGACTGGACAGACGAGAAACCGTGTTTCGAATCTTTCCTCAGGGAGTTGGCAACGTTCTACGTTCCAGAGCAGCTCCCGAATACCCTGGGTAATGATGAGGCAGAGGAAGATACGCCTGATGAGGTCAAGGCGAGGAGAGCGCAAGTCCGTCGTGCTGTAGAGCACGTCCTCTTCCCGGCATTCAAGTCAAGACTGATAGCAACTAAAAGCCTCATGAAGGGCGGGGTGCTCGAGTTAGCAAATCTCAAGGGGCTCTATCGAGTCTTCGAACGTTGTTAAACCGCCAGCGGATATCGGATATAATTCCGAGTCTCTAATAAAGAACGCTAGCGCTTCGCCATGCTTTAAGCCCGAACTATCTTACGGTTTGCTCTACAAGGCCCTCTATAGATTGTCATGGGTAATCGAGGGATTATGCTGCTCACTTCGATGGGAGACACCGGCAAGAGGGCGGAGGGGAAAGGTAATAGGTGGAACTTTTACATTTAGATCGCGTGCCAATACGAGAATGTCTAAGATTAAACCTAGCGGTTTGGGTAAAGATCCGTCCACCGCTAGAAATTCTATCTCTAACAACTCCAGCGAGGCATGTCTTAACTTAATTCCCTGGCGATCTACGTACGCTTTGCTTATTTATCGCGATTTGGCATCATGGGCACCCTCTTTTCAATAGTTTGTTTCGCTGACTTTATGCCTCACTATCTTGAAGATAATGGAGAAAGTTCATTAATATCCTACGACGGAGGTAGGAACAAAGTAGTCCTAGCGATACTAAATCGAGAATAGGCAAAACGTAGTGTATTAATTGCCGCGGAGGTGAGTGTCGAGACTGCGTGACTGAGTGATGGGAGAAGATCTCACCCCATGCCCTACCAACAATCACAATAGAGAAAGGTAACTGCTGTTACGCACGTACGTAAATGCGATTTATTCAGCCCGGGCAGGAACTATGTGTGATTCCTAGCTTAACCCTTCTGAATCCTCTCATGCGCCGGGAATACCCAGTGTACAAGTACAGGAGCCATGAGTCTCGACCATCGTAGAAAGCACTTCCTTCAGCCTCAGTCAAAAGACTGAGGAAAACTGAGGGTGAAAACAGGAACCCTCGTCATTGGAACAATGTGTTTAGGACCCATTGAAGTGTCTGCGTTTTTCGAAGAATGGAGGTCGAAGAGGGAGGGAGGAAAAAAGTTCACCCGAGAGCACATAGCAAATTCATCGGTCGTCTGCTACTCAGATCTCGCCGTTGTCATTGCCGCGTTTGGTGCTATTCTCCTCGCTCTGCGTGTACAGCTCGTCCTCCAAGTCCGACTCAGCTTTGACATTGGCCAGGCTAGCCGTAGCACGCCGGGCAGAACCTTGAGCGGTAGTCCTAGCTTTCTTGGGAGAAGGCGTAACTGGGTCCCCTGTTAAAGGGTTATGGTTAGGTCGTTGGTCTGGCGGATGTAAGAGGAGCCAGAGAGCATGTGTATGTATAAGGGGAGAGGTGGGAGAGGAGATGAGATTGAAATAGTTACTCACCGATGCCGGCTCCGTCCGGGTCGGACTTAATTCGCTTGCGACCTGAGAGAGCGGAGGGCGAACCTGTAGTACATGATATGTTAGGTTTTTCGTGTGTTCTCTAAATGTAAATGCAATTCCGACGGAGAAAGAGGGGAGAAGGCGGGGGACACTGCCAGAGAAACCAGAGGAACTGGGTAAATTTACCAGTGGATAGTCCGTCAGAAGTACCAGCGCTGGCGGTGCCCTTCTTTCCGCTCTTGGGCGTAGTAGCGACCGGAGAGCCATCGCCGCCTTTTCGAAACGCGGCAGCTTCAGTTCGAAATTTGGCCATCATATGAGTCATCGACTTGGGTGTGCGGCCTGGCATGTCAAGCAACTCATACTTCACGGATGCGCCGCTCTTGCAGAGCTGGTCAACGACCTGCATCAAGAAATGAATCTGGTGTTACGAAAGGTTAGTTAGCAGCTTTTCTGACTTCGTTTAGATTCTGCAATAATACGCAGTTACGTAAACGAGGCTGTAAGTTGCCAATGGGAGGACAACCGTACCTTCTCGCCATCTGTCCAAGGCTTTGCTCCCTTTGCAGTGCCATTGCCACCTTCGGACCGTCCGATTTCTCCAGACATTGTGCTCATGCGGGTGCTGTGGCTTTTTTGATGAATGGAAGATAGGATGAGACCTGGCTGATCAACTTGAATGAGTCGGTGACGAAGATCCCCCGGGGGTGCCTGGAGACGATGCCTATCACCTATGACAATAGGTATGGCTTCGGGCTCGTATGAGGGGAGACAACTTGGACATGCGGCGATGAGTGTTCAGCAGATGGAGTTGCGTGTAACATCCGTGGGTTACAGGAAATGCTGAGTTGAGATGGCTCCTTGTCTAAGCGGGGTGGAGGCAGAAGGCGTTAGCCTAAGGGTGGGAAGCTTAGGTGATAACTGGGGATTATGCTGGGATGATGTTTAAAAAGAAGCTTAAGACGCCCGGAACGCATGCTGTGTTTTGTTGCTGTCGTTGTTATGGTGAAGGATACTTGAATGGGCAGTGGCAGTCCGGGGTGCAACAGGAGAGGGGGAAATTCGGCCGGGCAACAGCAACAAGGAAGTATCCGGATTACGTAGGAAAACCAACATATCCTAAAGTAATACGCAGTTGGAGGCAACTTGACGGCGTTCTCCTATGCTCAAATATAGGTACCGTTAAAACTAGTAAGGACAAGTGATAAGTTGTTCACATCTGCCCGAGCACCTATAAAGGCATAGGTAGTTATGCGTAAAAAATGCAACTTGAAGAGCCGAGACGTAGAACGAACGTTTTCAGTATTTAAGTTTAAGCATTAATATCTGAAGGCGTGAATAATTAATTCATATAGCCCTGAGTATTTTCTTAACTAAGATTATGATAATAGTTAAAGAGAGTTAGTAAATGCAGTAAACTTATACTATATAGTAATACTAGCTATAGGCAGAATCGTATAGCATTATTATGACGAAAAGAAAAGAGATATACCTATAAAGAAACATAAGTATAAAGTTTATATTTATATAAAGTAATTTAATTATATATTAATACTCTCTATAATATTCTAATAACATATCGTTTTAGCTTATATTATAAAAACTTTATAAAATATAACCTATATATTTATATTACGAAAAACCTATTAATCTCCTAAAGGAAAAGTTAAAGTTAAAAAAATATATATATATAAAATATAATTTAAAGTAATGTATTTCTAATATAAATTAAAAATAAGAAATATATATAAAATACTATATGTTATATATTATACTATAATATAAATAGTTTAAATTTATAATGTAATTACTTTATAAAACTTGATTAATTTTGAATATAAATATTTAAATAAGAGTTATTTTAAGAAAAAAAATACTTTTATATAAAGTTACATAAATAAGTTATTAAATTAGTATTAATAAATTAATTTAAGTAAAATTAAAATTGTTTATATAAATATTTTACACTAGATGTAAACTCTGATTTGTTTATTTAATTCTACATTGATTAGTATGTTTTTAATAGGTATTATGTGATACACAGCCTTCGGAAAGTAAAACTTCTAACATCAGCACCATGCCTGCCTTGTCCATATTCCTGCTTACGGATCAGGTATATCAGAGGGATAAGGTAGAACCCGCCTCGATTCGAACTTAGAGACGGGCTTTGCTGCTCTTTTCTAGACGGCTCAAGTTGGGATGCGCTTGTCTATTCGGGCATCTGTCGTCTCGAGTATCCTCACCTGCGACCCGCAAAGCGCGAAGGATCGAATGTCGACTTCGCATCCGGTCATTCAGTGACATCGTCCGCGTCACCAAACAATCCAACATCACCAACATCACCAACATCAATACCAACCTCATTGCTCGCGGTCGGCGCGATCGCTGTTTCGATGCAGACACAGCCTGGTGTGGACGTTCAATACATGTGCGCGCTTCCCGGTACCCAGCAGGTCCCTCGTTGAATGAGGTGTCTGCCATCTTTGCGCATCGCCGAGTTAGGCTCTGTAGGACCCTTCCGGCCACCCTCAGGGTTCTCTACCCGAGACTTATCACTAGCACGGCGTTCCCTTGTGTCCAACACGCAGTACCGCCCCGCGCTCGCCTTCCTTCTTACACGTCGGCTCGGCGCGCGGTCAAGCCGGCTCCAGCATTCGGTTGCCACCGTCATGAACGGAGAAAACCCATCCTTGCGCTCTAAGCGCAAGGCTCCCTTTTCTGCCGACCAACGCCCCCATAAGCAGCTTCGGCCTGCGAATGGCAGGCTGTCTCCGACCGAGAACACACCCGACTCCGAGTTACGAAGTTTTATCGACAACGAGGATATAGTTACCGACGAAGACTTGTCCGTCCTCTACCCGCCGCAGGCGTCCCCTGATACGGCTGAGTGGCAGGCGACTATAGAGAAGGTCGTGCGGAATGTTGTCTCCATTCGCTTCTGCCTGACCTGTTCCTTCGATACGGACGCTGCTTGTGCCAGTGAAGCGACGGGTTTCGTTGTTGATGCGGAGAACGGGTAAGGGCAAATTCTCCAGCCTCTCTTTTCTAGTGCTGACCTAGATTCGTATGTACAGGTACATCCTCACTAATAGACATGTTGTTGGCGCTGGCCCTTTTTGGGGCTATGTGGTTTTTGACAACCACGAAGAGGTCGATGCTTACCCCGTCTACCGAGACCCTGTTCACGATTTTGGCATTCTACGCTTCGATCCCCAGGCCATTAAATACATGCCTGTCGCGGCTCTACCCATCCGCCCAGACCTAGCCAAAGGTACGTCTTCCCGCTCCAAGCATGTATAGCGCTCGCGCCGTTAACTTTTCTTGTGCAGTCGGAGTTGAAATAAGAGTTGTCGGAAACGATGCTGGTGAAAAGCTTAGTATCCTCTCTGGCGTTATTAGTCGGCTTGATCGCAATGCCCCAGAGTATGGCGAAGGCTACAGTGACTTCAATACCTGTTATTACCAAGCCAACGCTGCCGCCAGCGGAGGCAGCTCTGGCAGCCCTGTCGTAAACATTGATGGATTTGCTATAGCTCTACAAGCTGGCGGGCGATCTGATGGTGCATCCACAGACTATTTCCTGCCCCTAGACCGACCACTGCGAGCTCTTCGCTGTATTCAAGAAGGAAAGCCAGTTGAGCGAGGTACCATACAGTGTCAATTCCTCATGAAGCCCTTTGATGAGTGCCGGCGGCTTGGCCTGACGCCAAATTGGGAGCGGGCGATTCGCGAAGCATTCCCGAAAGAGACCAACATGCTTGTTGCCGAGATAGTGCTCCCTGGTGGCCCGTCGTACAATAAAATAGAGGAGGGGGATGTACTTCTGAAAGTGAATGGAGAGATGATCACTCAGTTCATCCGACTAGACGACATACTAGACTCGAACGTTGGTAAAACTATCCGGATAACTCTCCAACGCGGGGGCGAGGATATGGATATTGACATCGAGGTTGGGGATCTCCACAAGATCACTCCTGATCGCTTCGTCACTGTCTCGGGGGCTAGCGTACACAACCTTTCCTACCAACAGGCACGTCTTTACGGCGTGCCGATCGAAGGTGGTGGCGTTTTTGTCTGTGAATCTACTGGTTCTTTTCGGTTTGATAGTGCCGATAATGGTTGGATGATCCAGAGCATCGACCAGAAGAAGACGCCCAATCTGGAAGCCTTCATCGACGTCGTCAGGGGAATTCCGGACAAGAAGCGCGTTGTCGTCACGTACAAGCACCTGAGAGACCTCCACACCCTCAATACGACCATCATCAACGTGGATAGGCATTGGTCCACCAAGATGCGCGCGGCAATACGTAACGACGAGACCGGGCTATGGGATTTTAAAGATCTTGCCGATGCATTGCCTCCGGTCACGCCGGTGCGTCGCAAAGGCGCTTTCGTCCAACTTGAGCACACCTCTCATCCCGCTGTGGCCGAACTGGTCCGCAGCTTTGTACGCGTCGGCTGCACGATGCCTCTCAAGCTTGATGGGTTTCCTAGGAATAGGAAATGGGGAATGGGCTTAGTCATTGACGCAGAGAAGGGCCTGGTTATCATCTCGAGAGCGGTTGTCCCCTACGACTTGTGCGATATATGGATCACAATTGCTGATTCCATCGTCGCCGAAGGCAAGGTCGTCTTCATGCACCCACTTCAGAATTACGCTATCATCAAATACGACCCGGCTCTGATTGACGCGCCGGTGCTCAGTGCCAGACTCAGCACCGATAGCATCACCCAAGGTGCCTCGACGACTTTTATTGGGTACAATAGGAGCGGCCGGGTTGTGCACGCTGCCACCACCGTGACTGAGATCACCACTGTCGCCATTCCAGCGAATTCCGGGGCGCCGAGGTACCGGGCCACCAATGTTGACGCGATAACGGTCGACACAAACCTCAGTGGGCAATGCGGAAGCGGAGTACTTGTCGACAAAGACGGCAAGGTCCAGGCACTATGGCTCACCTACCTTGGTGAGAGGTCACATGGCTCGAGAGACGAAGAGTACCACCTCGGTCTCGCCACACCTACCCTACTGCCCGTCATATCGCAGATCCAGCAAGGCCAAGACCCAAAGCTCCGCATGCTGTCGATGGAGTTCCGAGCCATCGCCATGTCCCAAGCTAGGGTCATGGGTGTCTCCGAGGAGTGGATACACAAGGTGTTCCTAGCCAACAAGCACACTCACCAACTGTTCATGGTTTCTAAGCGCACTTTCGAACGCAGCAGCCAGCCGAGTATTCTACTGGAGGGCGATATCATCTTAACACTAAATGACAAGATCATCACGCGCGTCTCGGAGTTAGACGTCATGTACTCGTACGAGGTTCTCGACGCCGTCATCGTCCGAGAAAGTCAAGAGATGCGGCTACAAGTCCCGACAGTACCTGCTGATAACATTGAGACCGACCATGCCATTTCGTTTTGCGGGGCCGTTCTTCATGTTCCGCACCTTGCTGTTCGGCAGCAGATCAGCAAGCTCCCCAGCGAGGTCTACGTTTCTGCGCGGAGCAGAGGCTCCCCAGCGTACCAGTATGGGCTTGCGCCGACGAATTTCATCACGCATGTGAACGGCAACCCAACCCCAGACCTCAGGACGTTTCTCGATAACGTGATAAAAATCCCGGATAACACCTGTGAGCCCCCCCCTCCCGCCGTCTCCTAGCCTTCGCGGGCCACGTTGAGCCGTAAGATTTGCTAACGCGCGTTTAGATTTCCGCATGCGAGCGATAACATTCGACGACCAACCCTGGGTCGTCACGATGAAGAAGAATGAGCACTACTTCCCGACGATGGAATGGATCAAGGATGACTCGGAGCCGTGCGGGTGGAAGCGTATCAGCTACGGGAGCGGCAAACCCGTCGAAGGTGAGCCGACCGACGGCATTCTACCCGTCGACGGAGAGGAAACTACGGAGATGGACGATGACGACGGTGGAATCTAAATGACCGCCGCCGCCGCCTTCACACAAGAGTTCCAGCAGAATAGAGGCCGGGCTTGCGTATAGATAGCGGCCCGGCGTGTTAGGAGCGGACGCTCGACTCCTGCCTATGCTGTTGGGACTTCAGGTCTCGATTAGGGTCAGCTAAATGGTAAACAGGACCGGTTGGCTCGTTCATACATGGCATAATCTAGTACATATCCTTAGCAATCTTTTCCTTCCCTGAAGCGTCCCCGTTAAGCCCTGGGATTAGCAATATGCGTGATAAGACCTACGAGCAGACTGTGTGATGTCGTCACATGCCTCAGTCTAGGACTAGATGCCGCGGAACGGACGGTGTGCGGACAAGTCAAATATGCATATTACACAGGTGTGCAAATAGGGGGTATACCGGAATCCAAAGGCTCCGAAAAACGAGAATTGAATTAACCCTCCGTAGGCGCAACCATTCCATGGTATTAACGTCTCCTCCAGCTCGGGGACAAGTGCGAATCAAACCCCAAGACGAGTGTTGTAGTCCGTCTGTAGTCTGTCTCCTCTAGATTCGACGTACAGACGATAAATATACAAGTGCAATACGCAGCATGCAACCAGGCCAACGACGAATAGAATGTTAACATTAATAAACAAAACTCCACCAATTTATCGGAATATCTGACAAGCCCACGACTCTCGTGTCTGCAACTTTCAAAACGTATAGCGGGTATCGATGGTATGGTGAAATCAGGAGCAGTAGAACAAAGAGGACACGCGTGTCCTTAGGGAAGGTATGTATGCGAGGCTTCGATCGCCGTAGCTCGTCCCATCGTCTCGCGTGCTGTTGCCGATACCTATATTTTCTTCATCTCCGTCTCTTCGCCCCCTCCCCCTTCCCGTGGGTAATCTGCTCGCTGTGGTGTGATTTTATTACTAATTCTTCCTTTTCTTTTTTTATACAAGAGCTGCGAAAGCGGCAGCGGCCATGAGGACCATGCCGCCGATGGGGGCATGAGTGCTGTCACTACCCGCGGTGACGAAGCCGTTGTCTGGTGCGGTGGGGGTGGCCCCGGTAGACGTCGATGCGGTGCCGTTCCGGGACGCGGTAATAGCGGTCGGGCTTAGCTCCGAGGCGGAGGAGGTTACGCCCTCCTTGGAAGCGGAAGCGGAAGCAGAAGCAGAAGCGCTGGAGGTGGCTTCGAGGGTAACCTGGGGGGCGGACTTGGAGGCGGACTCGGACGTCGTCTTGGAGACGGCGGTCTGGGTGGTAGAGGCCTTAACTACACTGGAAGAATTGCCAGTCGTGCTAGCAGGAGCGGGAGTGGATTTCGGTGGCGACTTAGTCGACGTGGTCGGCCCTGGCTTCGTCTCCGAAACCAGAGTGTCCGGAAGATTATAGGCGGCAGCACATTCTTTGAGAGTCATGCTGTCCGGGCAGCACCAAGTAGCGCCCTTCTCGTCGGCGGAGCAAAAGTAGCCCTCGTCACAGGAATCTGTATACCGATTAGCCCGACCACACACGCATGCGCGACCCTCTCTTTCCCCTCCTTTCCGGGGACAAGTCCAACCTACCTCCAGTTGTCCCGGGGCAGCAAGTTTGCTTAGCGCTAGTATCGAAGCAGTGTACGACGCCATCGTTAGACGCGCACTGCTCAAAGCCCTTCCCACATGCCTCGGCGCAAGTGTTGCCAGCACCACAAAACTGCTGTTCAGGCGAATATCCTTCGTTCTGACGGCGTTCGAGACCGAAGAGGTTCCTGGTGGACATCCTAGCGTACTCCGCCTTGTACGGTTGGCGTATAGGTTCAGCGATAGCCTGACCAGCAAGGGCCATGAGAGCGAGTGAAGATACGGCGCGGAACATCATGGTAATGATAACAACGATGGTGGTAGTTATAATGACAGATAGGCACTCTTGAGTCTTGAGGGCGCAATGCTCGAACTTTAGGTCAAACGAGGGTGAAGCGCAAGAAGAGCAGAAACGGATTTAACGGCAAACTGAAATAGGAAGAGTCAAATGAATGTACGCTCGTCAGAGCTGTTCGCGGCTAGTATGTAGGGTGAATGTTTTGGCTGAAAGGGCGTCAAACCACCATACCCACGGCCATATGGGACAAAAGTCGGAAAATGAAGGACGGATACCTAGAAGAGTAGCGATGGGGTGTGGCCGTAAGGTCTGTTGGTAGATATATGGGAAACGGAGTGTCTGGTTCGGGCAGTTCGTCCTCTTGTCCAGTCTAACAAATGACAGGGCGATATATCTCCACGTTATTTAAATTTGTAGCAGCCGGGTGCGATCCCAAGATAGACCATACACATTCATACATTGTGACTGTGGCTGGCCTTCCTATTGTTACCTGGCTACCCATGCTCATGGCCATGCATCCGCAGCCTTGGCTTTCCAGGGCGCTGATTAGGCGCGGGCGCATAAATAGATGATCTGTGGTCAAGGGGGACAGTTCGGATGGCCAGACCAGGCCGATTCAGGAACTAACCGCCATCCTCCCTTCTCGCATCCACCTTCCTGTGTTCCATTTGACCAGAGGCCGGCATGTGGCGCCCCGGCCCTGAGGCTCAGGTGCGCCAGCACGACGGGCGGGACCTGGCGTCATCTGGCATCGCGCGCTCGTCCTGTGGGAAACAAGAGGGTGGGAGGCGCCGAACAAGCGCGTTCGGCCAACCGTTCGGGTGATCCGATATCCAGCGGCCGTCGTGACCGGAAGCCCCGTGGACAGCGCGCGCTGGGGGGGAGAAACCCTTCTGGCTAATCACGCGGATAGGGCGCGGCAAGCAAGCAGAATGTCCAAATGAATTAAAATGAAGCCATGGACGCCAAGCTTCATTCCCGGGCTAGTATGTAGTGAGTTGGACGGCGGTCGGGAGGGTGAGGAAATATACGAGCAGTGGAGGACGAGGGAATGGGAAAGGAGGAAGAAAATGCAGGCGAGGGGCAACTGAGGCAGAGGGGGAGTCGAGAACAGCGCGAGCCGGAAGAGGTACCTGGATAAAAGTATCGTTTGGAAGCGCGGTACCTGGCCGTCTGCATGGCGCTGCACGCGATTGACGTGTACCTGGGCATCTATCGGTACCACGCGATACGACGTCTAGCCTGAAACAGACCTCGTCGACTGGGTTTACCTGAAGAGATCGTCAGGAACGGCTGCCAAATTTGGGTCGAAACTCCAAGGAGGATGGGTGTCGGGCGACGATTGGCCGGGAGGCGCTGAAGAGCACTTGGGCTTTGCCGAAGCGAGTTAGGCGACGACAGCTCTATCCTTGCCCTGGGGTTTCACCTTCGCAGGTCGCGGTACATGCGCGTGTCTGCCTGTACGGGACACGCGAGATGGGCGCTGTCTCGTTCGATGATGTTATATCAGCCACTTCCGTCAACTACTGGATGCCTGGTGTTGGGTTAGGTAGATAGGTGTATTGGAATAGTTATCGGAAACTCGACACACACACACACACAACTACTCCCTCCCCCCTTTCCCTCTCCTCGTGCAGTACTGGATAGCATCAAGCTTGAGCCAACTGGACCGCGAACAGAGGCCCCCCCCCGGCCAACCACCCCGCACCGATACCTAGAGATACTCGACCAGCCTAAAAATCAAACGAGCCATCCCGATTGCTCCGGGTCCGAACTCCGGCCCGAGGGCGCCCCGTAGAAATACCTACCTACATATTACCTACATAGGTACCTACCTCCTACCTACCTAGGTAGAGTTGATCGGCCGGAGGTAGCCACGACGTTTGCCTTACGCAATCGCCGTCGCCTTCGTATTGCCAGAGGACATCCGTTAAACCTAGAGAGATACCTGCTTCACCATAGAAATTTACCTACGTCGGTACGCAGTCGCACCCGGGTCCCATTCGTTCCGCGATCTTGCATCGTTTTCATACCAGTCTCCGTTTCCATCCAGGCGTGTCTGTACCGGTTCTCAAAATAAATAAGACATCGACATCAATATATATATATATCCACGCTTTGCCCGCCTTTAAATCGGATCTTCCCCCCCGAGACTACGTCTAATTGTATACAAACACCCTCGATCGCTATGAGATTGTGCGTCCTCTCCCTCGCCCCGGTTCTCGGCACGGCGACGACGTTGTCGATACACCCGGCTGCCAATCCGGACTGGCCATGCCTCGTGACTCGGGAGGATCTCCGCGGTAGAGCGGCTAGGCTTTCCCCGTCCTTCGTAGAGGATCTCAGAGCTGTCAAAAGCAAGCTAAAAAGGTCCGGAAGATGCGACCGCCGTAGTGGCTTCGACGGTAAGCCATGTACCTATCGAACTCCAACTTCCTAGTAACTCACTTGCCATATACGCTCCGCTCTGACCCAAGCGCGCTTAATTCGTCCCGGGCCCACGTGCGCTGACGCCTTGCACTTGGGCTTCGGCGGCTGTCGCGAAGACGTCACCGAGTCCTAGCTCGTCTCGCGGTGCACTACTCCGATCACCCCGGGACAGGTATCCATGCATACCGATGTTGCTGCCACCGGCAAGGTCCGCGCGGTACTGGGTCGTCCCCTAATCGATGCGTCATGTGCCTCCATCGCTATTCTTCTCGCCTCGGTTTCTTAGCGGCGGAGGAGGGCGCCAGACCACGCCATCGGGCGATCGGCTAGTATCAGTAGCCTGAGCGACGTGCCAGTGCTCGAAAGAGCTTGAAGGCAGGAGAAGAATGTGAGTCACCTTTCCAATGAGCCCAGGACACGCCGCATAGGTACTAGATAAGGCATCATTACCTACCTGCTTGCCCATATCCCTAACCACTTGATCTCGACGAGGTAAAATTTTCGGTAACCACCATGGATGCGGTTGGTAGTATGCCTACTGCTGGACTGGTACCCAATAAAATGGCTGAGCCCGCGCCGGTTCCCACGGCTCTCTGACGCGCATTGCGCGAGTCAGCCTTACGTGCCATGCACGCGATGCGGTCAGCAGGCCTCGTGACGCGCCAGAGCGTCGAGACCGAGGCTGAGGGCTACCGAGCTCGAACCGTACAGGCCTGACACAAGCTCTGCCAGACTCATGCGAGACGACGCACGGCCGCGGCGAACGTCGTTGCTGCTGCCTGGGGGCGCCAACAGGTAGGATATGGGTAGGTAGTATGAAGTCAAGTAGGTACAAGTAGTGGCTCGGGCGAATATCTAGGCATGCTTGTGTAGGTATGTAATATGGCACATAGGCACACTGCAGACAGACAAGTATGCAGGCGTGTGGTGTATCACCTCGCGCGAAGCGGTGAGGCAGGGGTGGGGGGTAGGAGATCTAGAAGTTGGTGTCCTGGTCGTCGGCCGGGAACGCCGAGCATGCCAGCTGCGGTCGCTGGCCTTCGGTTGCTCGCGTCTTTCAAGTCAGACGCCATCGTCCCGCCGCAACACCGGTGGACATCGTGATATCGGATTGTCATGCTGGTCTCATCCCGGACTTATCGGAGGGGGGCAGCTACCTACCTATTAAGACGTCGAATCTCGATGCGGTATTAGGCATCCCTCTGGGCACCTGATCCCCGTTGGGAGGATACTAACGATAACAGCCGTGGTAAGAGAATGCTGAACGGTCACCGGTCTCTTGGTGACTTCGGATCGGCCAAGGCTCGGATCGTTAACCCAGTTGTGCGGGTAAACCCGGTGGTGAGGATCTCCTCTGCACTGTCATGATGCAGTACCCCGAGGTATATGAGAGGTACCTACCTACCTACCTCTAGGTGGGTAAGCATGGTAGGTAGGTATGTAAACTTGGAGAGATTCGGTTCCGGGTCTATGGCACGGCACGTAACCAGCATAATACCCGTAGTGCATCGGGAGAGCGGAGATGACGTCATTCCAGTCATATACAGGTACTACCTAAGGTACCCACTTCGTACCTGGAACCTGGAGTCGTGTGCGTAAGCGTACCTAGGTACCTATGGTTAGGCACCTTACCTCCTGCTTACCTCCTTGCTTACCTCCTGTATTGGGTAGATTGGGAGGTCCCTAGGCATTATTAATCTATGAATCCCGAGATAGGTATCTAACTTAGGTTCATTGGGGTATGCGCAACTCTCATGATAGTCCCTATTTTGCTCTTCTCCTATCTAAGCCTCGCCCTCGAGTCCCGCTCGGGCAGCACCACAACTCTATCCTGTAAGCAACCTCTCGTCACAGATACCATATCCAGGCGAATCGAGGTTATGGCTCCGCGCTTCGGCCCTTTTTAAAGATCAACCACACTCATTCTAAATGCCTGCTCTGCTGTAGATTCCGCGTAGGCGCGTACGGTGTAATAGGCGTAACAGTTCCTTCAGGGGCAATCGAAGACTGTTCGAATCTGACATAGCTTTTCACGCCTTCATCAAATCGACAAAGACTAGCTGCCCAATAATGCGTACCTCGGCAGCAAAGGTAGAGTCTTCGGTCGCCCATTTCCGTAGCTTGGTTAGCACCATCCCCTGGATCGATTGCATTCGCGGCACGTATGGACGCAGAGTAGGCATGTTGTCTGCCAGCCATAGTAGGAGGAGAGACTCCATGCAACTCTGTGAAAAGGTCCATAGGTAGGGAGTGCGCTTGTCTATCATCTCGGCCGCATTGTATAGGTAGGTGACGCAAGAGTCGATACATATTTCGCAGTTTTCCAGCATCACCCGCGGTTCGACGTACGGGTCGGGGCTCAGCATGGATGAGCTTGGGGGGGATTGACTTTCATGCTGTCGAGACACAATCTGGAGGAGGAACGGCCGATGAATAATCTGCCTCGCGGCATAGTATCGGATCATAAGGACTCGAGCACGGTCGTTTGATAGCCTCAAGGTCCCCTTTGGGGGACGTAGGTAGTCCGGGATAGAGAAATACCACTCCTCCAGCTGTCTGTTAAGCTCGGAGCTCAGAGCTAAGAGCTTCTGAGGACCCAGGCTCTGCCAGGCTTGATTAGACCCGGTGGTAGCAGGAGATGCATTTAGGCCGGTCTGCGCCGTGCCAGGGCCGTAGAGAGAATTTTGAATACGGTTGAGGAGCCTACGTATGGCGTGTTCGGCGATAAAGTAGATGATGTTCTCGTCGTCGGCGCGTTCCGTACTATGTGGGAGCCGCATTCGGTCCCCGAACGGTTCGATCCCGCTCCGAGGGACGTCGAATTCGGCGATTCGGTCACTACATGGCTCGAGTAAGCACGCAAACAACGGGTTCGATTCACCAATGTATCGTACCATTCAACCGTAAAGCACTGCCAGAATATCCTCAATTCCGCCTCCTCAAACTCCTCGCACTCGGCGCCGGACAGGTTGTACTTTCGGCTAGGTATCATTTAATTAGCACACACGATGTCCGTTGCTCGGGGGGTACATGCTACCTCTCTAAGTGGTTTAGAAATAACCGCGACGAGAACTGCGCCATCTTCCAGCTCTGAAGGGGGCGCCCTAGGTGGGCAAAATACGAGGCAGCTAGGAGGAGAGCCTGGCAGAGCGTTATGCTTGGCTTCAAGTCCCAGACTAACTTGTGCAACATAATACGCAGGGCTGGCTGGAAGAAGTGAAGGCCAAGCGTCTCTTCGCTCTCGTGGTTACCCCCCTGATCCGAACAGATGGTGCCCAGAGCGTAGACACAAAGGCACATCGCAGTTTCAATTTCATTAGTCTCTTTCTCCCGAAGAAGCCCGGCTTGCCACGATCGAAAAGTACTCGACGTAAAGAGGGGGTGATGGGGGTGAACCCTGAGGAAGTATATATCGGACAACCGATCTATGTTTTCGGTTTCAAGAGGTGGCCAAGCCGGTGGACCATCGTGTAGGCGACCTAGGAGGCCGGGAAGTGGCAGCTTCTCTTCGATCTCGAAAAAATAGTCCCTTGGATAATAGTCTCCGAGTAGGTCACGCACCATGGGAAATGCGAGGAGAGTGGTAGGAAGCGTGGCGTGGTCCTTGGGGATCAGAAACTGCGGCGAGTCGATTTGGCTATCTATCTTGGTAGACGTCGAAGGTAAGTGATCCGACTGCTGCTGGCTCGGGGAGAAATAGTCAGCTTGACTCGCGGGATACGAAATTGGGCTAGAACGGGTGGTAAGTTGGTTGATCTGCTGGCTTTGGTGTTCGAGCAACGATTCTATCCGAGCGAGTCGATCAACAACGGCAGTCGGGCTCGAGTCCTCGACCCTACGGTCTGGGATTAGCAGAGGCAGAGGCTGCTTCGGGCCATACCAGGTTGAAAGGGCATACCTATCGAATGGCAGCTCTTTGTAGACACAGTCGGCGTTTGAATCCTTGCAGGTAGAACAAGGCCTCTGCCCGTCACATCTTCGTTTGCGATACCTAATCCGGGTCAGGTCGAACGGGATCTGAATCGGCTGGAAGGGGAATGAAAGCACCTGCAGAAGTCGCAGGCAAGGAGCGCGCCTGGATATCAGTAAGTTCGTGAGCGAGTATCTGCTGAGAACTAGAGTAGGAGGGCATACGTTTCCTAGTGTAATTCATGTGGCAAAACCCGAGTAGCTAAGATGAATGACTGAGCCCCTGACTTAACTGCTCTCGTTCGGGGACAGAGTAAGCATTAACTAAGATGAGGAGGCCGGCAGTCAAGCCTGTAAGTGCGGCTGCTTCCGTTGAAATAACCTGGTTCGAGGAGCTTACAACGTCCCTAGAAGATGTAGCCGTCCCAATAACCGAGAGCCCTAGCATGACAACCTTACAGAGGATGGCAAACTAGATATTAGGTGCCTAATACCACGATACTACTCGTGAACCTCTCCATACCCGGGTAGCATGGAGCTATTCTGACCGCCACGCCGACCACTGCCCGGCCAATTATACCTGCTGATACTCCCAACCGTTTGATTTTAGTCAACCGAAAAAAAAAACATCCGCGGGCATGTATAAGGAACATCAAAACCTGTCAGATATGGTTGCAGGAGCTACGCCCATGATATGCTAGGCAGTCGTCAGGCGAAGAGAAGGTGTTTTAACTTGGCCACTTGAGAGACTCGAGGGATAGTCTATGTGTGTGTGAGAGAGAGCGTACCCTTCACATGGGGCTCTTCGACTTATAACCCCCCCACGTGTGTCTTCAAACTATGGCCAATCACCACGAGAGCGTGAGAGAGGCACAAAAAGTCATTTCGGCCAAACAGACCTAGAGGATAGGTCCTCGTGAATGTGAAGCGCATTACTAATTTGGTCGAGATGGTGCGTTAAGGGGAGGTAAAGCAGCTTATCCAGAAAATGGATAGGTACGTCATTCTCTACTATTGCCTAGGTAGCCCGGCATCCTGGCGGGAGTATTGCTGAGCATTGCTAATCTAGATGCCTTCGAGGTAAGATAGGGCTGAGTAGGGCGTAAACGGGGTGCGTCGAATGATTCTGAGTACCTACCTCTAGTAGGTAAATGTGAGATTGGGTTGAGGTTGAGACGCGTAATGGGTACCTGCCTCAGGTACCTAATACACATATGGGTTATGCATATAGGGTACCTCAGGGTACCTACTTGCCTGTATACGACGTGTACCTACGGTACATAGGCCCTCACGGAAGTTGAATGATGAATTATCGGTAGAGAGTGGGAGACCTTGAGACTACCTTAGGTAGATACCTAGAGACGTTGTCATCGCTGAGCCGGACGTACTCAGACCCTATCAACCCAGCCAAGACGACGACAACGACGACGACACACACACCCACGCCGTAAATAGTTCTTACATCAATGACACATACCTATGCGACACCACAGCCTCTGGGACGGGGTAGCGTTATTAAGAGCAGCTCGTCGAACTTGCAGGTGAAAAATTCTGTTTCCGGAGTAGAGCTGCAAAATTATCCTGTCCCGTACTCCCGGTATCCTTAGCGCTCGTACCTAATAGCCATCAAGGGCTCGGAGGCTGGACGACCCCAGATCGCAAACGGTTACCCACCCGGACTGGTAGGGGCGCGACACTGCCCGGTAGTATGTTTCCCTTCGTCCTCGGGAAAGAGAATCTCGAAGCTTCGGGAAGGACGGAACGGTTGATGTCGAACCGGGTCGATAACCCCGGATACCTACAGCTTACCTACAACGCCAGCGAACCTATGGATGTAGGTAGGTAGCATGCGAAATAGCTACCTAATTTACCTGCCAAGTACTTAGTAAGTATTTCCAGATCCCGAACCCCATTTCTGTACTCGCCACCACAACCATCCATCGTGCCGCTCCAAAAACAGATGTGGATCGGGATCGCTCGGCATTGTTGTCGCCGTTAGTCGCAGACGCCGGTCCTTTGCTCTACACATTGATCGGACGACTTCCTTGCTCCTCTCTAGGGGATCCGAGGAACGGCAACCCTCGCTTCTCTCAAAGCCGACGATGCCGGATGACCGGCTATCCCGTGTCGGCCGCCGCGGGACGACCCAATTCCAAATCACCACCCCGAGACGCAGCATATGTAGTAGTCATAGTCATCGGCAATACTATGGCCGATGTTCTCGTGGTCATCCGTTGTTCATATATTTGAGAAACTACAGCTTCTCGAACCTTCGGTATAGACCACAGAGGGATGGCGGTGGTGGGAGGTCAGTTGGACGCTCTCCATCCCTGCCCAGTCTTTCTCGAACCCACTTATGTAGGAATACCTATCACCCAAACGCCACGAGAGCCGGAGGTCGACGCCCAGTTCCAGCTCCCTACCCAATTTGGCCTATTTTCTATCTCAATAGAGGCTGGCGGAATCATGTCTTAGGCGCATGACGAACCAACCACCCACCCTAGACCAAGAACAAACTTGGAGTTCACCTTCCGTTATGCTTATGGACGACATACTAACCCTTTAGCCGTAGTGATATCCTCCTTATACGACGTCGATTTTACACCCTAGGTTTTCACCAGCATTGCGAAGCTTTGGGCGTTGGGTATTGGGTGGAAGCAACTAGCCCCTGCCCCGGAGGACCCCGGGTAGACATCACAGAGGCTCCGTCGCTAAGGCATGCTTCGAGTATGAATGCGTGAGTCATCAGAGAGGGTGATGTGGAGATCTTCTCGCCTTGATGTCGGGGAACCCGCTTGGTGTCAAGTTTCCTAGCTAGGGCGAGTCGTGGGCATGGCGGGTTATGGCGGGTTCCTACGACGGCTGCTACCCCTATCTGCGTCCCATCGCCTCACCATATCGTCTCGATCTGGAATATTGACACGCATCTTCGGCCCTATGCCCACAGACGATACCGCCCCCCAATCGGAAGGGGGTGGGGGAGGGGGGAAGAACACAGGCATTCGGAGGCGCTCTCTAAGGGGCGCATGGCTTAGAGGTTGTGTGGCGACGGGCTAGGGAGGCACCGCGAATTAAACCGCCTCGAGGCGTATCGTCGAACCTAGGGCCCACGGTACTTCCTCCTTTCTAGCTGCTGAACTGGCGGAAGTGCCTGTTGCCCGCATCTTTCAGGTCATACCTCAGGGTCGTCTTACGGTGCGATTCCCGGTCTCAGCCCAACGGTCTGGGTTGAATTGCCATTAGACAGCGGCAAATAGCAGTTTCTCCGCTTGATCTTCACCTACTACAGTATGCAACCTCTCACCGCCATGTCGAATAGCTGATTTCTGACGGTGTTCTCGGCGCTCCAGGGTCATCACCAGGCTATCACCCACCCACCCATTTGTGTAAACTGTCCGCGGTCACCATAAGGGGAACTTCGCCGATGTGGTCATACCAGCCAGCTTCATAGCGGCTTCTCCATCACATAAGCACCTAGCCGTCTCAGGGATCACGTCCGGTTGTTTCTGTGGGGGTCGTGATTGTCGGGCACTGTTGCCATCCCGGGTGCTGACCATTGCATGAGCTCGGGGCTTTTTTTTGGACGTCTCGTAGCTTTCTCCCCGACGGTGGTTCAGGGAGGGAGAGGACTGTCTGGACTAGTGCCTTCACGACCGCTATCTGAGACGCTCTGCAGATTCCAGCTTACCATATGGCTTATTCGAACGTTGATCGTCTTTCGAACGTGTTCAACACTACTCGGCTAACCCCTTTTTAGCTCGGAATCTCTTCCCTTCACACGCTGGGTAGTGAAAGGGAAGAGTGGCCTGAACAGTTTCAAGTCACGCGGGGGCTCTACACTACGAATACGACTTTTGAAGCCTAATCCGTGCGACGTATCAACCTGAATTTACGACTCATGACCTCGTCGTCTTATATTGGGGGTAATTTGCAGAGATAGGTTCGGTCTACAACCCCACGGTATCGTCCCCGAATAGCTAGAGGAGCTAACCGCCATTTGGGAAGTTCTGATCGCGGCCCCATTCTGCTTGCCGGGTAGTGATTCTGATTGTCTCCATAGCAATATATCGGGCTACCATCGACTCGAACGGGATGGCTATTATTACTATGTTACAGCGGGTTCGAGTCTGCTCTCGTCACCTTCAGCTTGGACGGGCAGGCTATGGTCTCGGCGATAGGCGTTTGAATGAAGTCCCGGGCTGTTCTAGAAGGGCCCTCTGGCATAAGCAGGATAGTTGCTCCTTGTAAATGTATCGCGAAAAGCTGTGTTGTCTGGTAATCGGGCAAGCTATCCAATAAGCGCCAAAAGGGGTCCCGACTACGATGCTGACTCTCTTGAGATTGCGGGAGGTAGCTGATACAACAGCCCGTTGGCATCGGCGCCCTGGGATACCACCCTCCCACCCTTTAGGCCGAATCAGTTAGTGCATCAACGACATATGCACGGCTGTTAGCCGGCGTGAACATCAGCCTATCTCGGAACTGCCTCTCCATATTTGACCCTGACTGACCTGGTTGAACGTGGGCGATATCGTAGTGGAAAACGTTCGACCCGGGCTGTACTGAAGTAGAGTTCATGTTTTCATGGCCTTTCTCCTCTACCTAGAACCATACCTAGCCGAGGTCTCCAAACGCCGCCAAAACCAGCGGCAAAGCCCCATGGGGGATCGAACAGGGAAACGTCGAGGACGCCGTCAAGATTCATGTTGGAACCTTGATCATAACCTCAGAGTTAGATAATGAAGAGGTGAAGCCTCGACCTTGCTCGTGAGCATAGGCGACGGATGTCGGCGCTTCAGGCCTTATTCTCGTGAAAATTTTCAGGCCACGCAGTGCCACTTCACGCCACCTACCCGTCCCGTTTCATCCTGTAGCCGAGTTAGAGAAGATGGTTTGTCCGTGTGGTGAGCTATTTCCTGGGTGTTCACGAACGACGTAGGCAAATGCCACAACCTCACAGAGCTAGTTTAGCAGCTTTGGAAATTTACAACTATTGTCTTCAGAGTAAGACCGAATGGCGTAGCTGGAACCATCGTCTCCCTGACGATTTGATTCTTTGACAGGTACAAATCTTTTCCAGCCCGATACAAGCATGAATTGAGGCCCGTTAGCTGTTGCCTCTCCGCGGAAGTAGAGGAAGACTGCCACTCGCTAAATAGTATGACAGATAGGTAATATAGCCCTCTGATGATAATGACGATACGTATAATGATGAGCCGTATTCCAACATGTGGTTGTCAACAGCAGGTAAGATCAGACGAACATAGTCGTCCCTCGTGCATAATTTCGCCCGCTTCTTAGTTGCTATCATCACATGTAGAATTTATCAGCCTGCTAATACTCCAGCCTGTGCCAGATTGGCATGCGAGGCGTCTTCTTAACCCAAGCAACCCTCATGAACTATGGTCATGCTTACTTTTCCCACATAGTAGTACACGCGCTGGCTCAGGTGGTCAGACCACGGCTCTCTTTGAGGCCGTCTTCTAAACACTGGTAACCCTTAATGAGTTCTTGATGCCATCCCAATTTTTTTTAAACACTGCATACCACTCGGACCGGGCCGAGGGTTACACAGCACCAAAGTCGTTTGCCTTGCCGGAGACGAGGAGGCCGACAATTAAACCAAAGAGACCCAGGACCGAACTGAAGATCTCGATGACAAGGATCTTGACAAAACTGGCGACGCATATTAGCATGTGAATGCTGGAGAGAAGGACAGACCGAACATACAGAGTAGGATCCGCGGCATCCGCGAGAGCTGCGCCGCTGCCGTTAATACCAACAGCGATGCCACAGACCAAATTGCACCCTCCCACGGTTATGCCTGCCCAGAACAACGCGTAGCCTGTATAGTAGCTGTTTCCGTTGAAGAGTTCGCTGTCGCCGACGTAGCCCACCATTGACGAGAACACGATGGCCATGATAACGCCATAGATAGCGACAACCTCGCAAAAGATGATGGATATTAGGTTCTTGGTTCGAATCCGTGGTGCTTTAACGCCGGCGCCAAGGATGGATGAGCCGGTGATTAAAATTCCCCTAAACAGGGTGTCAATTAGACCGGGGGAGAATATAAAAGGGCTCGGCTGAGGAAACTGCCGTACCATGCTGCGCCGACGACTGACAGGCCGATGCAGAGCGCGATTCCGAGGTCTGCCCACACGTAAGGCGATACGCTCTCGAGGAAAGCTCCGACCTGGAACCATGGTCAGGACTAGGCTGGGTTATAGGCTGGGAATCTCGAGACGAACGTTGAAGGACTCGCCGGAACCGGTAAAGAGCATGTCTATTCGTAGGATATGTTAGATATGGCTGATCAATCATCGGGGCATCCTCATCAAGCCTGGATCTTGACGTACATAGACCGACGACAGACAAGAGGGAGGTGAGACCCCCGGCGCTATAGCTTAACGCGCCCATGTTGATGCGCTTCTGGAGGTGTGCTTTCTCGATGATGATGACGACGACGGGATATATAGCCGGCCCCGATGTACATGGACGTAGCTCTCGGCGGAGCTTGTGACGGAAGAGGACGAGAAGTCGCGGCGGTATTTGTTAGGCTACCTCTCTGCTGGGGATAGCACAAGCTGGAAGAGAGCGGTTTGGAGAAAGAGACTGAGGGACCTTGGCGCAGGTCCCAGGGTCGCGCGCGCGCGGTGGATTCATTCCCGTCTACCTTAGTCAGAGGATCATTTGGGGACAGGGTGGAGACAGGTTGGGTGAGTGATACGGAATAACTAATTTTCCGAGACTTACAATTCCGATAGGATAGCTTAGGCTTATATAATCCGTTCAGTGGTTGCGCAGCTATCTGGTACAGGTAGGTACCTATGTATACCTATATGAAGTACCTTGGGTACCTACCTAGGTAGGTACGGTATCTTAGGTACCCATGCAACGGGAACAAATGGAGGGGCACTTGGGTCCAGTATCTTTTTGCCAGCTGCAAAAATCTAAGTCCCCTCCGCAAACTGCAAGGCTCGACACAGATATTTGTCTCACTGCGACCCTTCCGAGCTTCGGTTGGGCGGAATCCCTCAAGCTGTCGCTTTTTCGCGTCTTCCGTCCTCTTTCACGAGGCATCTCTTTCCGAGCCCTCACCATGGCTTCTCTAGAGTCTCAGAAGCTCTCGCGCACCGAGGAGACCGAGGTTCAACAATGGATCGCCACGTCAGAGCAGCTCAAGAGCTCGCCTTCGGACGCGTCTATACTCGACAATCTCAATTCCCATCTAGCCTCCCGCACTACTCTGCTCGGCACTAAACCCTCCCAGGCCGACATAGCCATCTACCGGTCCCTCGCCCCCACGGTCAAGTCGTGGACCCCTGAGCAGCGTACAGGTCAGCAGGGCCACCCCCATATCCTACGACACCTCGACTTCGTCCAGAACTCCAGCCTCTTCGATTTGAAGGTCGAAGAGGCGAATAAGATCAAGGTCGACCTCGACGAGGTCCTCTACGTGAAGCCGCCCACCGATGCAAAGGCGGAGAAGGAACGCCTAAAGAAGGAGAAGGCTGCGGCCGCGGCCGTATCCTCCTCGGCTGCTGAGGACGGAGCAGCCGCTACGCTCGTCGACCGGACAAAAACGGCGGTGGAGGCGGTTAAGGATGTAGCAGCTGGGGCCAAAGAGAAGGCTGTAGTCGGAGTTCCTGAGAGCACTGATAAGCCCAAGAAGGAAAAGAAAGAAAAGGCCCCCAAACCCCAGAAGGCACCTGCTACGGTTACGCCGCCGTCGCCCTCCCTGATCGACCTGAGGGTTGGCCACATTTTGAAGGCCATTAAACACCCCGAGGCCGATAGCCTTTATGTTTCCACGATTGCGATGGGTGACAAGCCTGGGGCGGAAGATACGACTGAGTACGAGGGCCAGGTCTGCCGAACCGTTTGTTCTGGATTAAATGGCCTGGTACCTCTCGAGGAGATGCAAGACCGCAAGGTCATCGTGGTGGCCAACCTCAAACCCGTGAAGATGCGAGGAATTAAATCGTGCGCCATGGTCCTAGCTGCGTCCCCGAGACTGAAGGAGGGCGAGACGGACGACCATAAAGGCCCAGTCGAGCTTGTCATTCCACCCGCCGACGCGAAAGTTGGCGATCGCGTGTGCTTCGACGGCTGGGGAGGCGAACCCGAAGGCATGCTCAACCCCAAGAAGAAGATCTGGGAGACATTCCAGCCTGGCTTCACAACTACAGAAAACTTGGAGGTCGTCTTCGACGGCAGCCTGGTTAAAGAGGCTGGGAAGGAGGAAGTTGGCAAGCTTACTACGGCCAGCGGAGGCATTTGCACAGTCACAACTTTGAGAGGGGCAACAGTGCGATGATCACGGCAGAAAACAGAAACCTGCAGAAATATAGCAATTTCAGACGAAAAGCTCGTGTTCGGCTTGGACACATCCAAGCTACTTCCTCCCCTTTTAGCCGAGCGAGCTCAAAAAAGTATCTCATCCATGCTATGCTTACTCCTCGTCCGGAGTGTTCCACGGCGGCGTCTCGATAGTTTCTGTCGAGATGGTGGGCGTGCCAGGGCACTAACGTAACTGAGATCAGTGATTATATCCACAAGTGTGTACCGTGAAATGTATCTTGGGAGGCGAAGCTTGTGCGAGGACGCGCGGCAGGTCGAGTCTGCTCCCGAGACATGCCGTGGAGGCCAGGGAATTCTGAAGACACTTACGCCAGTCGTGTAGGTGATCCATTGTGTTGGGACGACGCAAGGAGCGCAGGTCGGGCAACGACCAGTCGACACATACGACGTTGGCGTTGTGGGGCAGCAGTCGGTAGAGCACGGCACCGTGACGCTCGAGACCCTAATGTACTGGGGGCAAAACACATCCGTAGGCCTCGGCGCACACTTGATCATCGGGCATGTAGCTGCGTTCATATTAGTACGTGGAAGACGAATCTGGGAACTTTGCCCAGAGAGTATTCTTACAGGACGGCGCTATTCTAGTGTAGGTATAGCACTCATGAGTTCTGACTGATGCCGTCGTGTGTTCGAAGTCGTCGATGGTTGTCGAGCAGTGCCCCGGGATGGTTGGCGTCGGTGTGGACGCGAATACTTGTGGGGACGCGACGACCACATTGCTATAGGTACCTTTAGCTTTATCCGGGTCGGGGCTTGCGTCGAAGGAGAGGGAGGGCTAAGTTAAGGAGACCTACCAGGCAGCCAGCAATGCAGTGGCGACGGAGAGTAGAGCGTAGGATGAGAGCATGGTGAGGGTATCTTGGTAGTAACGAGAACTTATTTTGATGGCTGCCTGAGCTGAACTGGCTGATGATGGTAGTAGCAGTCATCTAGCTTATATAGCATCCACACCACCCACTTTGCCTGCCCTCGAACTGACCGCCAACGCCGCCAAGCCTATAATATCAGAAAAGCACGGTTAAGCCAAGGGAGCCCGGCAGAGAGGGCTGGCTCTGGCTGGTGACATGAGAGAACTGCGAAGTCCTCTCGCTCGTTTTCTGCTCGAATGGTATGGCTACGATCTTGATTTCCCGTCATACAGAGGGCTTATGCTAGTTCACGCCTCGCTCCTACACGTCCACAGGTGTGACAAACCCCATCGAGAAAAGGGTGAGCAGCACGCTCGGTCTGTTTACACCGAAGCCACGCAACCAAGGTGTAGTCCTGATACGCTGTTTAGTTGGTTGGCTTCTCCGGAAGGAAACGCCTAAAGGAACGAATTACGAGAGAGAAAAGACGGGGACAGGGGAAGCGAAAGCCTCTTTTCTCGAACGGAGTAACATTCTTCGATCGCCGCCTTTCGTCCCCAGATTCGGGAGGTCTCCTGACTCTCAGCCCTACATCATACCGCCGCCTCGTATCCTTGTGCCATCTTCTCACCTCATCTCATCTCAAATCTCACGCCCAGCTGGTCTGAGCTCGTGAGAGAAAAGTGGCAAGCATCCGGATGGCTGGTTGAGCCGCCCCGCCCGCCCCCTTTATCTCTTTTTGCTCTTTATTCGTGGCCGTTGATCTCCCTCCCTCACTTTCTCTACGAGGGTTCTCTGGACATCTACCTGGACAGCGACGCCGGGCTTTATCCCCGTCACCCTCACGCTCGGGTGTCGGGTAAACGTGCATGTGCGTGCGCGGTTGCTCGACCTCGCCTTGGTTGGTGGGCACGTACCGTGTATGGAAGAAAGGATGCCAGCAGGGAAGAGAAAGTCAAGACGGTCAAGTTCCTCCTACGGAGAGGCGGCGCGAGAGACTACTCTGTGGCCCTTGCCGAGTGTATTTCCATGGCCTCCTCGAAGCCATTTTTTCTCTAGGTATTGCTGCTCTTATATGCCGATGCTAGGTACAAACCTTAGACATATTCCCTGCGTCCACGGATCTTGGTGCCGCATCACGGATACCGTAACTCGATTGATAATAGCGACGTGCCCGCAGGGCAGGGAAGGGGCACTCATATAATAGACAACTAAAAGGAGAACGATAGATAAATAAATTCACAACAATTCTCTCTGAGAGCTAAAATAAGGCCCGAATTATTCTGCGAAGTAGAATAATTCGGGCTTATTTTTAACGTAAACGCTAAAAATAATAACCTATCCGGAGGATAAAGAGATATAGAAAGTATACTTAGTTTATTTAATACTGATTTTTAGAGCTACGAACTTTATTTATTATAGAAAACCTAGAAAACGTAAGAAATTATATATAAAAAACTTATAGTTTATACGAAACTATCTTTTATAAATTCGAAACTAGTTTAAATTTTTACGTTAACGTATATTATATTAAGTAAAGCGTATATTATTTACGATAAAAAACGTATATAGTAAAACGAATTTAAGAAGAATAAAACATAAAAGAAATCTAATATAGAAAAATTTTTTTAAAGTTAAAATTACGTAGGTACGTAATTTCTATATTAAAAAAGGGCGCTATGCTTAATAAAACTACGAAACCCTTAAACTTATATCTTTATTACTTCTTTTTACGTTTCTTTTCTACTTTTTTCTACGTACCCGTATTTTTTTCTCGTAATATATGTAGGATTTCTCGTAATAATTCGTTACTAAAAAAAGCGTTAATATCTAATCCTTATTACTTTATAACCCGCTTTTCCGCTTTTCGGATTACCTTTCTAGTTTTCTTATAGACTTTATTAAAAGCTTACTTTAAATTAAAATTTCTACGCTAGCGTACTTTATTACGTATTAACGTACCTTTTTATTAATTCTTTTAGAATCAAAAGCTTTTTTTAATTCCATAAATTTAACGAGCTCTAGCTCGGCTTCCCGGGGTACCTTAGCGTAAGCGTAATAGCCCTTATAATAATAATAGTAGCGATTACTTTTTATACTTATTAATTATCGCGTATACGTAACTTTTCGCGTTTTTTACGCTATTTTATATACCGGTTCTTTTTACGTAGGCGTTCGTCTATAATCGATTAATTCGTTTAAAGTATACCTTATAAGGTAACGTTCTTTCCTCGTCGCCGTCGTCGTCGCTACCGTCGTCGCTACCGTCGTCGCTACCGTCGTCGCTACCGTCGTCGCTACCGTCGTCGTCGTCGTCGTCGCTACTAATAAAGGAACGGACTCGGTTTATAGGTAGATTTTATATAATAAAATTAACGCCTACGTATATTATTACTTAATCGCGTACTTTTTTTCATATTATAAAGTTCGTAAAGCATAACTTACTTTATAAGATATACTAGGAGGGGAAGGGTCGCTACCGCCGCCGGCGGCCGTTAAGCCGTTAGTATTACTTATCGTAATATTAATGCTAGCTACGCGGCAGGCGTCGCTAGCCGATAGTTAATCGAGGCCTAGGTTAGTAAGCTCGGTAATCGAAATCTTAAATATTACTTTAATTAGTTAAATCTATCGCGCGCGTATTAAATTTCTTACTTTTTTTAATTACTTTAATCTTATTTTATTAAATAAAAGATTACGAAATATCGTTAGCGTTCGTTTTAAGCTTAATTAGCTATATACGAAGGTTTAAACTTACGTAATTATAAAAGGGATAGGAAGCGTAAGGAAAAAGGAAAGGAAATAATAAAAGTAATTAATAGTAGGAAATAAGTTATTTTATTTCGTAAATAAGGAAGCGTTATAAAAAGTCGCGATTAAAGGAAGGTACGGCGTTAATTACTAAGGAAGTCGCGATATCTTTATATATTAAAAAGGAGCGACGTACTTTAAGAGACGCTCCGTAATTAAAGTAAGAAAAACGTATTTCTATATAGAAAATAGTATATCTACGTTACTTTTATACCCGTATTCTTTACTTTTACGCGGTCTAGTTATATAGAAATTAATTAAAGTATTATAAACTATACTCGCTCGATAGAATGAACGTATATACGCTACTCTTATTCGTTATTTATAACGTTAAAGTACGTTATTTATAAGGGTATCGTAGTAGGTATAGAGGTTAAGTAAATAGCTATATACGTAAACGGAAATCTCTATCTTTTAGCTTAGCTTTTATACTTACGAAATATATATTAGCTTAAATATTAGCGAACGTAAAAAGAAACTTATTATTTATTAACTCCTTATATACTATATTCCTATAAAACGGCTCGTCGAATATTAGGCCTTATAACGAAGTAACCTTAGAATAGGCGGCGTAATTTAACCTTAACGCGAATTCCTTTTTTATAATTCTAACGATAACGTAAAGAATAATAATACCTTGCGCTTTATAAACGGTTATTACGTATAAGATAATTAGGGGGAATTATTCTCGTATATAGGAAATATCTTTATAATCGAATTCCTAGCGCTCGCGTAATATTAATATTACCTTTTTCCCTCGAGAATCGCGTAGTTTATTTCCCTAAGTATCTTTAAACCCGGGTCCGTCGTAATCGTCGAAAGTTACTATAACTACTACTAGCGGCTCGCGTTTAGGATTAGCGCCTTACGCTTAACTTATATCGTAAATAAAGCCTTAGGAGTTATTTATAAGCCGTATTTCGGAAGAGATATTACGTAATAATATTACTCGAGCGCCTATATAGAATAATAGCTTAGAGGAAAGGTTACCGGCTAAGTCGCTAGGCGCGTTTAGCGCTTCTCGGCCGTAATAAATAACGTACGTTTAAATAACTAGCGAATTAAGCGTTACGAGATAGTTAAAATTATATTAAAGTATTTCTTTACGCGTAAAGTATATACGTACCGCTTTTTTAAAGCCGAAACGATCCTATTTAGTTAGTACCGCGGTTATTCTCGTAAATAAGAGCTAGAACGATTCGGCGGAAACTTACGTTAAGCGTAATTCGTTTAGCGCTTTTCGAAAAGGCGCTTAATCTTCGCTTACCTAACGTTAAATTACCGATAGAAATACCGACTTAGAAAAAGCTTTATACGTATTATAACCGACGAGTTCGTTTACCGAAAGATACGTTAAATTAAGAATATAAATAGGCTTTAATAATACTAAGGGTAATTAAAAGAAGTCGCCGATTAAGATTATATTTACGTTATTAAAAATCCGCGAGCTACGCGGAAATATTTACCGTAAACGGCGGTTAATAAACCTAAGTATACGTAGCTTTAATATATTCTTTTCGTCGATAATTAGATAGCGAAGGTTAGTAAGGCGTCGTTATACTTTAGCGAAAGCGTTATTAAAGAGCGGTTTAAAGCTACGCTTTACGAATAAACGAAGGAAAGAATATATCGTTTTCCCGCGAATATTATTATTCGTAGCGCTAGTTAGGGTAGTAAGGGCTACCGAATCCTAAGTAAAAGCCTAGTAAACGTAAAAGGCTAAAATCTTAATTAGATACGATTTTTTAATACCGCTACTACCGTCGATTTAAAATAGGAGCTAGTTTTAATTACGACTTTATACGTAGCCGAAAACGGTATCGTAAATTAGCCTTTATTCCGGATTTAACGTATTACGGGTATTTAGGGAAACGATTTCTTATTCCGGCGTATCCGTAGTACTTATTATCTCGCGCTAATAAATAGAATCGTAAAAGTAAGGGTACTTATATCGGGTTACGTATATAGCTTAATCGTAATTTACGTCGATATTTTTATTCCTAAATACGTTAAATATTTCCTACGTAAGCGTTTAATTCGGGAGTAAACGCGTTAATTTAGCCTAGTCCTTTTCGTTTAAAGCCTATTCTTTTTTCTTTAGGAGTTCGAACTCCTCTTCGTCGGGTCCGGAAAGGTCGCCGTAATAATTATCCTCGTATTAATAGGTTACTTAATATCGTATATATATTAATATATGCGTTAGAAATTAAGTACCGTTAATTAAAAGTAGCTCGTCCTCGTTAATATACGAATAATTTAATATAAGCTTAACGCGGTAAAACGACTCTAGCTTACT